CTCTAATTGCTCACAAACGTGGCTGGCTTAACGTGTGGTGGAAAGAGCGTATAACTGGAACAGGAAAGACCCAGACCCAGAATGTATTTATTTCACTTATTCCTAATTGTGTGGCATTGGCTATACCACTCAGGTCAAGAGATTGAGAGACCAACCTGGCCAACATGGCAAAACCTCCTTCTCTACTGAAAATACAAAAATTAACCAGGTGTGGCAGCAGGCATTTGTAATCCCAGCTACTCAGGAGGCTGAGGCAGGAGAATTGCTATGTATCTCTGCCAATCAGAGATTAAAATGTAATCTTTTCTGTAAAATCTGAATGACAAATGCTTGATCTGCTGTCTTGAGTTAGACTCACATGGAAAAGTTCTTTGCACACTATAAAATGCTTTAGTAGCATAACTTCAAATTAAGAGAAGCATATTATTCATGCTTCACTGATGATCAAGATAAACTTACACAGTAATTTCACATTCTTGATAAAAGTCACAATTTTTCATCCTGCATACTTAAAACAACTTCCTGTGTGCTGTTAAATTTGAACCATTTAAGGAGTTTTGCCATTATACTCCATCTGGAAGCACTATAGTGCTCTCAAATTTGCGAGCGGACATGCCTTATTTCAAATCCTGGCTCTACCGCTCATTAGGTGTAAGACTGAGCAAATTTCTTGATCTTGTTTTAAGTCTCCATTTGCCTTGGTAAGGCGACCATAATACCCACTTGATGAAGTTATGAGAAATAAATGAGATAGATTTTTAAAAGCACCCAGCCCAGAGTGGGTATAAATGAATGATGACTATTTTGTGATACTAAGGAGGAAAACGCCTAGCAGGAGGAAGGCAGCTGACTGTTGACACCTGACCCAGGCTAGCCAGTTATTAGAACCCATCTGAGCAACTTCACCGGCTGCAGTGGAGATGGGTCAAGTTTTCAGTAATTGACAGTTCACTATGTTATCAGTTATACGTTTTTCATAGTAGTTAGATTTTTTCATGCGAAATACTTATAAATCAACAAATACCGTCTTGTTGGCAAAGACAGCTTTCAAAACAAGCACAAATAGAATAGAATTGCTTTCTGACTTCTTTAAAAAGAAGTTTGATAACATTTTACCTGTTTAGATTTTAAACTTGGTGTTATATAATGTTTAAAACCTCCGTTTTATTCACAAATTACTACATCTGTTGTCAGTCCTAAGTAAAATTAACCTGGTGAGGAATGTGTTAATCATTAAAAATGGAGATAAGTGGCAAGTGATATCACAATCAGAGTATCTCATTCTCAAGGTCAAAGGTTATCTCTCCTCCTCCGTCCCCCTGACCCGCTGGAGATTATCATAATGCTCAAACATTTATAAACTAACCCAATGTAATTTTTCTCAAATATGTATACTATGTGCTCATTTGGAAACTTGGAATCCTCTGGCTCTTGTCTTTGTTTTCCCATTAGCCAGTCTTCTGGAGCATTTAACAGTCATTAGTGTGACATGACAGGGTGGGGGAAAAAACATGAGAGATCAAAATGAAAATCGGTCTGACAGTCTCATACATCAGCCTTACACTGTAAGTCACCGCAAGGGCTTTGTAGGAAAGTGCAAACGCGCTCACTCTTCGGATAAATTCTGCTTCTAGTTCTGGCCCTAAAGGTGATATTTTACAGGGTGTATGTTGGTCGGAAGTAGGAGAAGAAATAAATCAGAGGGTGGCCTATGTACTGGGGAGAGGCACCTTCCCAGGAAACCAGTCTTTTCCAGGCTAAACCATGGGATTTCCTAAAGTAGAGGAGCAGAGAAACAAGTGTAACAAGAGTAAGGTGGGTGGTGTAAAAGCACTCTGGAGTAGATAGGAAAAAGCTCGAGAAAATCCACAGTTAGCACAACTCACGGTGCCAGCCTACCATGCTTCACAACTATCTGCAACTCCGAGCAGATTGCATAGAAGAGAGGAGAAAGGAGAGGGAGAGAGAGAGGGCGGGAGGGAGACATACACACACACAGACACACCCCCCACACCCCCACAGAAGAGGGGCTAACAAGTCCAGAGAAAAAGGACTCAGGAATGCAAGACACACAAATGGCAACATAACCTTAAAAATAAAACAGTGCAGCAGCAGCACTGCTGGAAATGGAGAGGGCTAGAAAGATACCGAGATTCACATTTAACCATCGAGGATTGAAAACAGACCCTCAGCCTGCTGCGGAAGGATGGGTCAGTGGTAATAGGTCATATTCACTGGAAGGCACGGAGATAGTTGTTGTGCTTAAATTAAATGTCTAGTAAATTCACATATTGCTTTTTAAAAAATCCATAATGTATACTTAAGTAATAAAGTCTTTTGTCTTATTCAAATTTTAGTTTAAGGATGAGTGAATAATTACATGAAAAATAGGGAGACAGTAAAGTATCCATTTTCTTGTTCTCTGTACCTGGTTTCTGTTGCAGGAAGGTATTCAAATAATGTTTGTCGAATTGAACTAAATTGAAGGACAAATTTCTGAGCGTTGTCATTTTACCTTTTTGGCATCTGTACAGGCTTTAATTTCATTCTCAGATGCCTACTGGCTCACTCAGTGTTAGGGTCAGCTGGGTCAGACGCTCCTCGTGGGAAGTTGCGTAGTTTGGAAGCCTGGAATGTGTTGTTTATGCTAATGAACACACAGCTATCTTCTCCTCCACGGTAAGATTGTCATTCGGCTGTCAAATACTGCTTATCCAAAAGCTGTTTTTTAATGTATTTAAAGTCTAAAGAGATATCCTAAGCTCCTCTATAAAGACTCGTGAGCTTGAACTATGAGTCAGTTAAATTTGTTTTTTGTTTTAAATCATATTTCCCCACAATGTTTCCTTTATTCCCTATCTCGTAGATAGAGTTCACATGCTTGCCAACAATAAGTTATCTGAGCCCAGTAAACAGTATCCCTGTTTAGCTTCCTCTCATTCGTTTGTCTGTTTTCTATCAGTCAAAGAGGTGTCATGTTGCAGACAGATCCACATTGCTACAAGATTCTTTTTACCTTTATTGCTAAAAGGGGTAAAATAGGGTAATTCAGTAGAGTGTGCTTTTAAAATTATGTACATAGGTAGTTTGAAAGCATATTAAGAGTCTGTTAATGAAGGTTATCCGTTGAACTAGGTGAATAGTAAGTGTATTTATATGTTACACATGGCGGGTCTTTATTACTATACTCTTTTTTGTAGACTAGGATTATTTTTGCTATAGTCACTCAAGAAACATTTATTAAGTAGCTACTATGCACTAGTTTTGGGCTAAGTCATAAGGATTAAAAAATGAATAGAGAAATTCAGAAGATACCTTCCACATGCTTCGGTAACCAAGTCAAGGGATCTGTCTGCATTTTTACATGAATATTCTGATTTTCTTCCAGTTTGTCTAATGAATGAATTATATATAATGCTGTCTAATGAATGAATTATATATAATGCTGTCTAATGAATGAATTATACATAATGCTGTCTAATGAATGAATCATACATAATTCTGTCTAATAAGTCTATCTTGATCTAATCCTCTCTTTTTTTCAAGAACTTTGCTCCTGCTATTGCCCCTTCTATGGTAAATATTTCTTCTTTTTGCATCCTATCTTTTAGTAAACATGCCATAATATATTTCATCTTTAGAAAACCCACTCTACACCACTTGTTATACTTTATAGCTTGTTAAAAGATAATTTTCAAAAAAGACAAAGGTATGGCTCTTCTACAGATATAAAAGAGCCAATGTTAAAGATTGTATTGAACATATTATTATGGGAGAATCTAGAAGCTATTAAAGTCAGTCAGAGAAGAATCCAACCTCATCACACTCATTATTAGTATGGCTACTATCAAAGCAAACCAGAAAATAAGTAGTGCTGGTGAGGATGTGGATAAATCGGGGTCCTTGTGTGCTGTTGGTGGGGATGTCAAATAGTGCAGCTGTTAGGAAAAACAGTATGGTGATTCCTCAGAAAATTAAAGTAGAATTATTATACCATTCAGCAATTCTTCTTCAGGGCATATACCCAAAAGAATTAAAAGCAGGGTCTTTAAGAGAGATTTGTATACCTATATTCGTAGCAGCATTATTCATAATAGCCAAAAGGTAGACGTTCCACTGATGAATGGATGGATAAACACACTGTGGTATAAACACACGATGCAATGTTGCTCCGCCTTGAAAAAGGAGGCAGTTCTGACACATGCTAACTATGGATGAAACTTGAGGCCGTTTTGCTCAGTGAAGTAAGCCACTCATTAAAAGCCAAATACTGTATGATTTCATTTCTATGAGGTACTTACGGTCAAGAACTTCATAGAGAGATGGTAGAATGGTGGTCACCAGGAGCTATAGGGGAGGAGAATGGGGTCACTGTTAATGAGTACAGGGTTTCGGTTTTGCAAGATGAAAAGAGTTCTAGAAAGGGATGGGGGTGAATGGTTGCATACTAGTGTGAATGAACTTGACACCACTGAGCTATATATGTACTTAAAAATGATTAAGATGGGAAATTTTGTGTATATTTTACCGCAATCAAAAATAAATTTAGCAAGAAAAGAAAACAGAGGAAAGAAAAAGAAGTTAAGGAAAAAAGATGTTAAGGGGGAAAATAATATGAAGAAATATATAGAGGGAGATTAGGAATTTTTTTTAATTTTAAAATTAATTTAAAAAAATTGACAGATGAATTATATTTTTTAAACAAGTACAACATGATGTTTTGAAGCACACATACATTGTGGGATGGTGAAATCTAGCTAATTAACAACTGCATTACCTTACACAGTTAACAGTGGCGTTGCCTCACATCCATCCATTCTACCATTTTTGTGGTGAGAGCGTGTGACAACTGTTCTCTTTACGTTTTTCAAGAATACAACATATCATCCTTTATACAGTCACCTGGCTGTGCCATAGATCTCTTAAAATGTATTTCTCTTGTCTACCTGTGATTCTGTATCCTTTGACCAACATCTCCTTATTCCCCTTTCTCCCCATAGCCATGCAGCACCTGTTAACTGCTGTTCGACTGTCTACTGCCATGAGATCGACTTTTTCAGATTCCGTATACGAGTGAGATAGCAAGCTATTTGTCTGTCTGTGTTAAGGACGCTTACCATCCATATTGCGGCAAATAGCAGGATTTCATTCTCATGACTGAATAGTACTTCACTGTGTATACGGACCACGTTTTCTTTGTATCTTCATTTGCCGACGGACAGGTAGGTTGATTCTGTATCTTGGCTCTTATGAATAGTGCGGCAATAAACATGGGGTGCCAACATCCTTTCGACATACCAATGACATATTGGTATGTCATTTCCTTTGGATAAGTACCCAGTAGTGGGTATTTATATATCATGTAATAGTTGTGATTTTTAATTTTTATTTTATTTATTTTGAGATGGAGTTTCGCTCTTGTTACCCAGGCTGGAGTGCAATGGCACGATCTCGGCTCACCGCAACCTCCGCCTCCTGGGTTCAGGCAATTCTCCTGCCTCAGCCTCCTGAGTAGCTGGGATTACAGGCACGCGCCACCATGCCCAGCTAATTTTGTGTATTTTAGTAGAGACGGGGTTTCACCATGTTGACCAGGATGGTCTCCATCTCTTGACCTCATGATCCACCTGCCTCGGCCTCCCAAAGTGCCGGGATTACAGGCGTCAGCCACCGCGCCCGGCCAATAGTTGTAATTTTTAATTTCTGAGAAATCTCCATACTGTTTTTCATAATAGCTGTACTCATTTATATTCCATCCAACAGTGTACAGGGGTTTCCTTTGACCTACATCCTTGCCAATGCTTGTTATCTTTAGTTTTTTTGATAATAGTCATTCTGGGGTGAGGTGATATCTCGTTGTGGTTTTAGTTTGGATTTCCCTGATGATTAGTAATGTTGAGCATAATTTTTTCATATACCGATTGGCCATTTGTATGTTTTCTTTTAACAGACATTTAATAAATGTGCAAATAGAGGCAAAAATGGCTTCATCTGCAGTGGAAGAAGAAAGTTAACAGGTCCTCTAAGGGACAGAATTTGTTTCCATGTCCACAGACGAGAACAATGTTTTGCACTTCTGTCAGTTACATGTAAGAGATGAAGCTGTAAAACAGTCCCCATTGAATCAGAATCAGAGAACCTGGAGGAGTATCTCTAAGCAATGCACCATTTTCCAGCCAAGCACAATTTTTTCTCTAAAACTAAACTCTTAGAAGAAGTAGGCTCGACTTTCTGTTGTTCCCGTCTGTGGAAGGATAAAAAGGGTCACGAGTTATTTGCAGCTGCTCACATCAAGAGACGGAGTCCATTGGCCAGGAGCGCGGGCTCACTCCTGTAATCCCAGCACTTTGGGAGGCTGAGGCAGGGGGATCACGAGGTCAGGAGTTTGAGGCCAGCCTTGTCAACGCGGTGAAACCCTGTCTCTACTAAAAATAAAAAAAATTAGCTGGATGTGGTGGCAGACACCTGTAATCCCAGCTATTTGGGAGGCTGAGGCAGGAGAATTGCTTGAATCCAGGAAGTGGAGGCTGCAGTGAGTTGTGCCACTGTGCTACAGCCAGGCAACAGTGTGAGACTCCATCTCAAAAAAAAAAAAAAAAAGATGGAGTCCGTTTTCTTACTCCTTGAATCTAGACTGGCTTTTTGAGTTGTTTTGATTAATAAAATGTGGTAGAAGTGGCCTTGTGCAACTTCTGAAGGTGGACCCCCAGGAGGCCCTGCAGCTTCCACTCCTGCTGTCTTAGAAACCTGCTGCCCTGTGAATGAGCCTGAGCTACCCGCTAGAAGGACCAAGTAACGGAGGACCAGAGTGCTCCAGCCAACACTCTGCCAACCACCAGATATGTCAGTAAGGCCGTCTTACAGCATCCAGTCCTGTCCAAGCTGTCAACTGACCATGGCCAGTGAGAGTCCATGTGAGAGCAGCAGAAGGGATGTCCAGCTGGACCTAAGTGAAGTTACCAACCCACGAAATCGTGAATACATGAATCACTTTTAAGCCAGTAAGTTCTGGGGGGATTTGTTATTCAGCAAATATCGTAACTGACACATAATTTCAATCAATGGTACCTTAATGTTTCCAGTTCTTCATACCCCGAACTTCAGAGTAACCTTGCCTATTCTCCTTTTTTCGTATCTGACATCTGACTTATTAGCAAGTACTCCCAACTCTTTCTTCAAAATACATCTCAAACCTGAGTCTTCTTTTTGCTACCTTGGTTTGTCCTAAGCGTTATGCTGTTTTAAAAAAATTAAAAGCTCGTATAAAATAGACACAGAAATAGTCTTTTTAGCTTTAAATATGCATGTATTTATTATATTTATAATGCTTACAATATTGTACTGTAATTAATCATGTAAATGTCTATTTTCCACAAGCCTATAAGCAGTTTGAGGGCAGTAGCCGCCCCATCCTCATTCAGCCTCATCACACATTATTTTTGTAGTGGTAGTATTACGCTAGGTACGAGTAGGCTCTCAAGGAATCTCTGCTAAGTAAATTGGTAGTAATGCAAGATAACAAAATAGCAATTGAAGTTAATAAAGCTCTTATTAACCCATTTATGTTGGAGGTTGCAATTTTTTGAATTCTTGCATGCGTGGAAAATCCGATCTCGGCGATGCACTTGAGCAGTGGGATATAAGTGACTCCCACATGGGTAGCATTCCGGTATGTTATGCATTGTCTTGACATCGATTTTCCCAGAGCTAATAGTGTTATCCTAGTCCTGGAAAGCCTTGGCTTCCCTGAGGCACATTCTGATTTCCTCTTGCGGCTTTGGGCAGTTTTTTGAGTCTGTTTTTCTGCCACCCAGATCCTATACTCCCTGAATGATTCACCCTTGTATCTCCTACGTCACTGCATGTAGCACTTTATGCAGAGTAGGTATTAGTACATATTTCTTGAATATTACTGAACTCTCTAAACTCAGTATTAAAGTGGAAAGCTTCACTGAAAGGACAAAAGTATTTTCCAAAGACTTGAATGTCCATATTAAAAATATGAAAGACTTTCAGCCAAATACATATATTTATATACAGGGGAAAAAAAAAAAAAAAGGCAAGCAAACCAACAAAACCCAAAAAAGCCAACAGTTGTTTTTTAATCAGGGAGCAGCAAACTTGTTAGACTATCAGGCTTTTGAAAAGCACTCAAATACATGTTCTTGGTTAGTGTGTTTTCTCTTCTCATCTTGTTCCTCATCTAAAATATTAGTGTTAAGAATTCATTTTACCATTATTGAAACATTAGACTTTGGTAATTTTGGAAATATCTAGTGAATTCTGAAAACTGGAGATATGAATTTACTCTTTGCACAGCATGATTACCTCTTTTTAAGAAAGATATTAGTATAAAAAATTCTTTTAAAAAGCCTGGTCAATGCCAAACTTTCTTGTGATAGAAACAGAAACACATATAGCATACATTTTTAAGAGTGAATTGTTATCTCCGAAATGCAGTTTCCACAAATCACAAAATTGTCTTGGAAGTACCCATCTTTTAACTACGTGAGCTTCTGCAAAGTACCACAGTGTCTGTAGAAGTGGAATTCCTACCCAAATATCTGTTCTGAAAGCTTGAATGGCTTTCCGAGGGCTACACTAACACGGAATTGAAGGCAATCAGCATGCTGATTCTCAGCTTCCAAGTGCAGTCTTTGCTATAATTAGTAAAAATGTATATGACTCTTCTGTAATAGAAAACAAGCTTTCTCATCTTACCTCCTTACAATCTCCATTTCCCTTCTTTACAAAGGCATGCATCCTGAATTGGTGCGTGGTCTCAGGTATAAAATCCAACTCAGGGACAAGGAATATTACACTTACTGGGATTGATGTTGAGAATGTAGATGACTCTGGTGACCCAGTAACAGACACATCCTTTTGTAAGATGTGGCAATTTCCAATTCTTTGCTTTCAAAAAGTAAGTAAGTAAGTAAATAAATAAATAAAAGGAAATCCTACTAAAGTGTTAACTGATTGATCCGTGTAAATCTTGTCACCTGACTCAGAAAGACTTGACATTGCTCTCACAAAAGGTCTTCTATTCCTGACTTTTATGTGAAAAGTTTTTCAGTCCTTACATTTGGAAAACAGGAATAAAACTGATTCTGAACATTGTTGAATTCCAGCTGTAAGAAATTTTCATTCAGATACATGAGCTAATCTTTTTTTTAATGACCATCTATTTGAATCAGCTTATGAATAATTTTATTTATAGGTTTAAAACAGTCTGATTTATAATGTATGTTATTTTGATTGTATGCTGTTAATAACTGCAGTAACTCAATTCAGAAAAACTATTTTCACCCTTACGGCCTCATAGCCGGAGGATACAAACTGTTAAATTTCATATATACATATGATAGGGTTATAAGTAAAATAATTTTAAGCTTAAAACATGTTAAATAGAATAAAATTAGTTGAAGTTGACCAGAAGTATCAAGAATTAGTTTGAGAACAAAAAGAAAGATGTAACACTTATGTTGAAGAAAAATTTTTCATGTTTTTTTTTTTTTTTTTTGAGACGGAGTCTCGCTCTTGTTACCCAGGCTGGAGTGCAATGGCGCGATCTCGGCTCATCGCAACCTCCGCCTCCTGGGTTCAGGCAATTCTCCTGCCTCAGCCTCCCGAGTAGCTGGGATTACAGGCCCACACCACCATGCCCAGCTAATTTTTTTTGTATTTTTAGTAGAGACGGGGTTTCACCATGGTGACCAGGATGGTCTCGATCTCTTGACCTCGTGATCCACCCGCCTCGGCCTCCCAAAGTGCTGAGATTACAGGCTTGGGCCACCGCGCCCGGCCTCATGTGTTTTTAAAGTAGATGATTGATATCAAATTGCTGTGAAATAATTCAGAGGAAAAAAGGAATCAGTTGTGTGGAAACAACAAATGCTTTGGGGCTTCAGTAAAAATGTGAGAGTTCCTTAGCGCAAGGGCTGCAGTTTACTCAACTTTGTGTTCTCAGGCCTAGCAAAGGGTCTGATGCAAATCGCAGAAAGCATTTTACAAACCTCTCTTCATGAACATCATCCGTTTCCTACGACTCGTCTGGTCAAGTGCTAGACAACTGTGTCAGGAGACCAGGGCTATGCCTCAGATCAATCTGTTCCTTCCACCTGCAGCCCCGGAAACTTGGCCTTCTATGGACCTTGTCACTAATTTTTTTATTTCTTTGATTTTTGTCCAGTACCATTATTTGCAACGTTATGCAGAAACCAACACCCTTGCTTTACATGCTTGCCGAATAAGGGAAAATGGATAAATAAAAGGGAACAAGTGCATGAAGGAATAAATAAATGACAAACATGAGACTTTCTAAAGGAATTTATTAAAATGGTATTTTCATAATTCAACTTTAAGCTGGTTTTTGAAACATATAAGTCATCTCAGAGCAGCTTTTAAAAAATCCTGTGGTTTTATGTTGCATGGTTTCTATCATGTCTCACTGTTGTAAAGACTGCATTTCAGAAAAGGCTAGATCACACAACCCCAATTTAGTTTTACAGAATTAATGGAGTAAGGGTGAGGAGAGAGATGCTGAGGCTATAAAATGAATTTAAAACGTTGTTTTTTTAAACCAGGAAAAAGTTTCCAGGATCTGCTTGCTTAACAACTACAATAAAAATCACATGCGAGGTAGGAGAGTGAAAATAATCACTCTCCTGTGATTAGTTTGAATAATAATGAATGCAAATGAAAATATTTGTCATTCAGTGGTTGACTAAAACCATGTCTTTCTGAAATTTGTATTCTTTGCTTAGCAGAGAACTATGCACATTGTTGTAATAAATAAGTTTGTTTTTACTTGCTACCAAAATATTAGTATTAATTTAAATTTAAAAGTTAAAATTTTTAAAAATATTTCTTTAAATGTACTATGTAGTCCAGTACAGTACATACAATAGTCATAGAAATGAGATGAAGGAAATCATCCCTTGTAGCAATCAGGAAAATCAAGACTAATCAGATGGAATTACTTTATTTTATTTTAATTAGTTTTCCAGGACTACTATATTAGAAAATAAATGGCAAGAGAAGAAGAATTTATAAGCAATCAAGATTAGGCATCTTTGCAAAATATTTGTATACAGAATGATCTATAAAACATTGATTTAAGAATAAATATCTATGAAGGAATTTTAAAATGAAAGAAACTATGCCTAATGAGATTATTATAATAAAATCTGTAATCCTTGGGAAATCTAAAGAAGAAAAAGTACCTTGATCTGGAACAAGAGAAAAGGAAATGTGGGCTTTGGTTACTCCCTCTAAATTCAGTGCAAAACCATTAACTTTCATCAATAGAAGATTCTATCTGCAACCCTTATTTGTGTCAAAGATGGCTGGTGAGAAGATTTTAAATGTAATCATGATGCTTGTCAAACTCAGGAGCCTTGGCAAAATTGTAAATCAGTGATATTTATTTTTGGGGGCTGGTCACAATCCTGAATGCCATAATTCCAAATTTTCAAATCCTGAGAGATCAAGATGCTGAAAATATAATGCTGGAAAAAATAATTTAAAAAATTTCTTAAAAGATATTTACTTAACTTTTTTTTCCCTTAAAGACAGGGTCTTGCTCTGTTGCCTGAGCTGGAGTACATTGGTGTGATGACAGCTCCCTGCAGCCTCACACTCCTGGGCTCACTCGAGCCTCCCACCTCAGCCTCCTGACTAGCTGGGACTATAGGTGAGTGCCACTACATTGGCTAACTGTTTACTTACATTTTTAAAAGGACGTTTATATGAGAAACCTATAAAAACACAATAGAACACTTCAATAGGTGAATCGACGCACTAAAATCGGCACTGATATACATATTTTTGTAAGCATCAACAGGTACACTAATGACAGTCACAAGTATAACAATTATGAGCAGGCAAACCATATTTATAAATACAGAGGTCAAAGACTGAAATGTATAAGTGCATATCACAATGGCTGGTAATTGTGGGCGCTCAGCTTTGTAACTGCAAGTCATCTGAGACTTTTGACAAGATTGATCATAAACCACTGGGGGTCGCAACTCCATCGTCACCAAACCAGTTGCTTAAAGAGCCAAGATGTTGAGACATTTTCTCTCTCACAAATGCAGATGTACACAAGGGACATCTCTTCATTTATTATGGAAGTTTTAATGTTTTATGCACATGCACACACAGTCAACATTGTGATAATGCACTTTTATGGAGGCACATTTCTAAAAAAATACATAAATCAGCACTCTAGAAAAGTCTACATAATTTATACCTCTAGTATTGGAAATGATGCAAAGATGAAATGCACAGCATATTAAATTATTTTTAAAAATGATGAAATAGTGGGAAAAAACAAAAAAAAAACCATGAAAAAATTTTGGCATATTTCAAAGTGTATTACAGGGTCAGATTGCCTAGAGACAGCCCACGGGAGCTGGCCAACTTCATATAGTTGACAGTTAACTATGTTTTGAAGTCTTCTATCACAATGAATATCTGCTTTTTTCTTCTAGGACACGGTTCTCCTTGGATAATATGTTCACATTCATTTTCTATTTGGTGCTGCTCTTTTCGCAACTCTTTGATCTGATATACATTGCTATGAACATGCCCTGTTCAGTGTTTCCGTTTTCTGTGCCATGCTTCTGTGTGGTTCTGGCTTGGTGCAGATCCATTCTGCATGCAACACAGAACACAGATTTGGCAAAAGCAGTACTGGCGATCAGAGAACAGCACCGTCGCATAAGTGTCCTCTTATCCTACTACGCACATAATTATTTTCAAACTGTTCAGTAACTTAGCTGGCTTCTTCAGGCAAGTACAGCTTTAATTTGTTAAAAGCCCTGGAATGTCGCAGCTGGAAGGAATGCCAACACAGGCCAGTGAGGCATTTTTAAACTGAAGTTTTCATTCTTGCCATGTCGTGCAGGCAATCTACACACGTGAATTTTTCTCCAAATGCATTGAGCTGAACGGGAAAAACAAGCTTTATTGGCAATGCCGTGAAATTCGCTCTTTGGAAATCTTTAGTGGCTGATTCCAAATCTGTCATAGTTTGGGGAATAAACTGAAATTTCTTTTCTTCTTTATAAGGACAGTAACAAGGTGATAGTTCCGCGTAGCATGATGTGACTTTCCTACGATGCTGATTTTTCCAAATTTTAAGTGTTTAGAATTTTAGATGACAGGGATTTCGATTTTAGAGATCTTGATCTTTTAGGATTTCAACATTGAGGATTGTGGCATTCAGTATTGTGTCTTTTGAGATTATGATCTAAACCCTTAAGCTTCATTAAAAAAACTCTTAAACAGCTTTTTCTGGGCATTAAAAAAATTCAAGGGGGGAGTTTCTTACATTAAGAGAATCTTTTGAAAGAAAACGTGTGATGGAGAAATTTTTGAGGAGGACATCTTTATCTCATCATTTCTAGTGAGCAAACTTTCTCTACTAGGTCAAGATCTAAACAAACACAAATGTGGACAACAGGGAGAGAACCCGTTGACCTACCGAGACACGCTGCCAACAGCATTCTGAAGACTTGCCAAGATGCCTTTATGAAGATAGCGTGAATGAGATTCCGAAAGTGCAGAATAATCCTTTTAAGTCCACCCAGAAAGTAATACAAGATAAACAGTTATATAAGATTCTGTGAGGACTACTTCAATATTGGGAAGAATTGTGGACTTTATCATTCAAGGAAATATAATTTTATTGTAAGATCTAATCTTTGTTTTTTTATAGCCAAATGGAAACATTCATGCCTTAATACAAAGTTTGGCAAAAAGAACTAAAGAAGACACCAGAGAAGATTTTAACAAACAAGAACTTATTAGGCCAAAGATTTGCCATGAAATAATGATTCATTTAGTTGTTTTCTAAAGTGTTAGATGTTGACGGATACTTTTATTATGAACTGTGTTCTCTGAAGGAGACTTTTATTATGAACTGTGTTCTCTGAGGAGCTATTTTTATTTTCACATTTTTCAAAGTGAATTATTTTGCTAATTCTTTAACATAAAAATCTTCAACCACATGATTTGATATTTCAAAAAGCGATTAGGACAGAAGCATATGTACTGGGATTTATTTTTGGATCCTTGAAGTAGCAAAGCGTAGTGGAACTCCTTAATCCATAGAGTAGTTACTTCGCTGTGTGATGACTCTTGATTTACCCCCGAATTACCCTTTCCACGAAACAGTATTAAAGAGACCTTAGTAGGCTATAGAAAAAAATACTTGTGATCTACTTAGAATATTCATGAGGTTTTCTCTTGGTGGATTTACATCACATTTTATTTTTTAAAACCCCAAATATCTTTATTTTAAGATTCATAAATAAGAGAGAGGCCTGCAGATGGGAGTCACCAGCAGGAAAATACAATGCTTTGGTCAAGCTGACGACTGCTGTTGTCCAGCTCTGTACAGACTCTCCTGCTGAAGACTGAGGGGGGCTTATTTCAAGTCCTCTCTAGTTCACTGCCAGCATGTTCAGATGGAATTGGTCCTGTGACTCAGTTTTCTGTGCAAGAATAAGATTTGTACCTCTATGAATCTTCTCCACCTTCTTCATCTAGTAAACACTTATGCTACAGGTCTCCTCTCAAGTCTATTACTATATGCAAGTATTGTACATAAGCAGACCATTTAAAAATGTTTAAAGGAAGATATATATTGATACGGTTTGGCTGTGCACTCAACTCTCATCTTGAATTGTAGCTCCCATAATCCTCACGTGTCGTGGGAGGGGCCCAATGGGACATAATTGAATAATGAGGGCAGGTTTTTCCCATGCTGTTTACAAGATAGTGACTAAGTCTCATGAAATCTGATGGTTTTATGAAGGGTAGTTCCTCTGCACATGCTGTCTTGATGCCACCACGTAAGATGGGCCTTGGCTCCTCCTTCGCCTTCTGCCATGACTGTGAGGCCTCTCCAGCCATATGGAACCGTGAGTTGATTAAACCTCTTTTTCTTTATAAATTACCGAGTGTTGGATATTTCCTCATAGCAGTATGAAAATGGACTAATACATATATGCATACGTAAAGCCATTTCAAGAGACTTTGCTTCCTGAAGTTTGTAAATGTAAATAAATTTATTGTACCATCATTTAGGTTACCACATTCCTCACTAACGCAGAAACAATATCTAAAATGGGTACTTATGTGGTTATTAAAAATATAGCATGAATATGGCTTTTGGGAAAGTCAATGACAGATATATTTTGAGGCCACAATTCTACATCTCTTGCGATTCTGTTGTACACATTTGGTATTGAACAAAAGCCAAAACTTTGGACTCCTTTGATTAAAGCCAAGGTCAAGTAATCCTGCTGGTTCTCTCTTCCCATTTCTTGAGGGAAGGATGTAGTCATATAAGATGCTATTTAGTAAAATGGTGCCTGTGAGTTCGACGTGCAATGTCTGGCAAGTGTTTTTCAAGGTCTTACATACACACTATATTTCCCTTCCTCCTTTCCCCTCTTCAGCCTCAATCCCCATCACCCAGTGTTTCATAAGGTTTGACTTTCTGTAGCTTATACTGTAAAACCCCAAGTATAACCTTGTCTAATAATATTAATTGCCCTTTCCCTAACTCGACATGCCTCCCTGGAGATTGTGATGGGTGATTCTTTCTCCTCCATCTTCCTTAAGCATTTTTGGTCTAGTGGAATATTCGGTGGCAAAGCTCTCATTCTGGAAAACGTTTAGCCGTGCAAGCAGAGAAGAAATAAGCCAACAGTGGTAAACAGAGTTAATGCATATAGTTAAATCTTCTAAACATGTCTCCTGAATGATGCCACATTTTCCTTTTTCAAACTGGGAATCAACAAAATGGAGGAACAGTTGAGGTTTGTTAAGAAATTTCCCTTCTTATCCATAGAACTAAGATTTTTTTTTTTTTTAAATAAAGAAGGTCATAGTGGGCCACAAATGATGTGCATTTCTAGGATCCCAAAGTGTTTTATTGATGGAGTTATATGTAGGGATTTAATGGAACTGTGGTTGAAAGATGCTTTGAAAGTCTTTGATCACTGGGATATCACTGGAACAAATGAGCTAAAAGATTTTCAGAGTTTCTTCATTTACCCAGGTAACAGGGTGAGGGTAATGGTGGAGAGAAGGGGAGGTCCAGGGCATTAATGACTAGTACTCCATGTGAAAAGAAGAATTGACTGGTAACATCTGCACTGTTTTCATTAGCAGGCTGCCATATACTGTTGTGCAGCTTTTGCATTGCACAGTTCTTGGGAAGTTGGGCGTTCATATTTGTGGCCGTTATCAGTTTCTGTATTTATAATGGCAATTTCCCAGCAATTTTCTAGGTATGTTGTCCTGAGAAACTGTTAGATTCCTCTAATTTTTGCAAAGATACCTTTGGGAAGTTGAAGGACTGCCCGATTACTATTAGACAATCCTGCTACTGATACATACTTGTCTTGTGTAATTTGGACAAAATATAATATTCCTGAATCTTAGATTCCTTGTTTGTAAAATGGTTAAAACATATCTAAATGTAAGAATTGTTGTAGCATGTGAGTTTATGTGAGTATATGAATGTGGCCGTCACAGCAGCTGTAAATAGACGATTATTATTATAAATATTGTTAAAGCATCGTGATGTTTTATTTTAAGCTGATATTCTTTCTTTATGCTGACTTTACACAGAATTTTAAAAAATATACTTGAGTTTAGTATTTGCATACAACTACTGATGGAAATCTGATGAAAAACACTAATAGTACTTTATAAAAGATATTTTCAATATGAACTTTTTGTTTCCATTGTGAGAAATTGAATTTCAAAACGTAATTATTAAATATATGCCTGAATTTCAAATATGTTTTTGTCTATCCAGCTAATTCAAAATGTTATTATGTAATAATAGTTAAATGTCATGTTTACTTTATTAGAAGGAATACCTTCAAATTATTATTATGATTACCATTTATTTAGCATCTTCAGCATGCAGGGCATTTATAAAATCTGTAGAAATGAATTTTCTCTAAATGCAGCAAGTTGTATGACCGACACGCACTGTCTATAAAAGATGACTTGGTTGGCAGAAAAGGAAAGAGTTTCTTCAGACATTCCAGCCCCAGTCAGCCCTGGTGACATCTGCATATCAGGTAACTCCCCAATCCCTGGTCACATTTGATGGGTCCAGGATGGAATGTGACCCAAGCTGAGACAATCAGACTTAGTCTCTTGATAATTTAAACTCAGAGCTCCAGTGACTGAACTAGGCAATAACAGACATTCTATGTGTAAGTTAGAGAGAGTCGGAGACAGGAAACTCAACTCACTAGAAAGCTGCTGTTATAGTAACTGGGTGTCCTAGGTTCTTGGCCTCCCCTGCCCCAGGAATGGGGAAAGAGGTCCTGGAGGTGCAGTGGGCTTACCGTTCATATAAATATCATGGACCCATAGAGTTTGGCAGAGAGTGATTTATTAGTCAGAGAGAGAGAGAGAGAGAGAGAGAGAGAGAGAGAGAGAGAGAGAGAGACAGTAGAGAGAGAGAGAGAAAGAAAGAAAGGAAAGAGAGAGAGAAAGTAGAGAGAGAGAGAAAGAAAGTAGAGAGAGAGAGAAAGAGAGAAAGAAAGGAGAGGGAGAGAGAGAAAGAAAGAAAGTAGAACGTGGAGTTTTGATTTGAAGTTATTCCCGCCCCATTCATGTTCTTGTCCAATGGGAGGAGTTCTTTCAAACGTCCTCTGGAGTGATTGATCTTTGCCTTTGGTCCCAGATTGGTTGTTTGGGCCCACAACAGAGCCTCTCCTTCCAGGGCTTTTGGCAGGCTTTTGTGAACAAAGGAAGCTCACCCGGAATTTTACCCAGCCTGCGTGGGAAGGCCAGACAAAGAGCTCTAGGTTCCCAGAGGGGAGGGGAATGGAGGCGTGGTGCTGGGAAGCTCTTGCCTTGGAAACCACGCCCCCGTGGACCTGGGAGGAGAAGGGAACATAGTTCCTCATTTTGGAGAAACAAAAATAACTGCTTTGCAGAAGATGGTCTGGAAAAGTAGAGAAGTTGCCCAAGAGAGGGACAAAACTGCTTTAAGAGTTTTTCTTTTTTTTTGGGGGGGGGGGGAGCTAAATATACTTTCTATATTTGGTAACTCTAAGATAACCTTGTATCTCTCTTCTAAATTCCCCCTTCCACTTGAACTTGAATGGTGGATTCCTCTTACTTTCAACTGAAAAACACTTAAGATATTTGTCTTAAGGAAGATTTAATATAGTTATTTTGTGAACAACAAAAGCCTTTTGTTGAGCTACTGTCCTTCCAGTGAGACACACACACACACCCCGTTCTAGATCAGTTGGAAGAGGATCATGGAGGCAGTCACCACTTTCTTTCCTCTTTCTTGAATATAAATATGAATGTAACTGATTACATCGTCTAGGAGATGAAAACTCAGGAAATGTCTTTCCAGTGGCTTCTGGTTCTTCCCAACGTGAAATTTGGAAGACGGTTAGGAATAATTTCCAGCCATTTTAGATGCATGTAGTTTCCGCTGGATAAGGAACTAGAAAATAGGGCAATGGTGCTGTTTTCCCTGAGGTACCTACAATACGTCTTGTGATGCAGTCTTCATAAGGCACGTGACAAATTTCATAATTTTGCTGAGTAGAAAAATTAGAACAATGAATGTCTTTTACATCCATAACAGCTGAAAATTTAGATTTGATAATTATCTTCTGGATTCCATTATATTCTGTGGGATTTTTTTATTGTTTTTTTCCTTTATTAACTAATGAAGCAATTGGCCAAATCTGGTAGTACAACACTATATGGAACCTACCTTGCTATCCTTGTGGGAAATTTCTTAAGGTTAAAATTTGATTGTGGGAATAGTCAAATTCGGAGGACTCTTTTAATAATAAAATTGTAGACAATGGAAGAAGGCTGAAGCCTGCCGATAAAATAGAACTTGGCACTTCTTGGAATTCACATAAAAAAGCACTAGCTGCTATGATACATAGTGTAAGACGGTGCTTTCATTAGGTAGTATCTCTGACCAAAACCATACACTATAAAGGCCATATAATGGGTGATCATTTGCTTATCCTGTGTCTGTTGATACTCATTTTTGCCCTGTAAAATGAATTATGAATTGTGCATGTGGTGGTCATTTACCCTATCGCTAAATGCAGCTAATTCTGGGTAAAAGAGAACAGCTGTTTGACATTCGCCCCCAAACTTACTGAGGCAGAAAGGAGGACTTGCGTTATCCAACTGAAGTAGCCGGGTAGTCTGTTCTTGCCGTTTGGGTTAAAATACGCTGTGCCTTTATCTCCACAAAACAGCCTCATTGTGTTGAGGTTGTTTGCCAGTTTCGTTCTAGCAAGCCTCATGGTAATGGAATATTATTATTATATATATTTTTTGAGACAGAGTTTCGTTCTTGTTACCCAGGCTGGAGTGCAATGGCGTGATCTCGGCTCACCGCAACCTCCGCCTCCTGGGTTCAGGCAATTCTCCTGCCTCAGCCTCCTGAGTAGCTGGGATTACAGGCACACACCATCATGCCCAGCTAATGTTTTGTATTTTTAGTAGAGACAGGGTTTCACCATGTTGACCAGGATGGTCTCGATCTCTCGACCTTGTGATCCACCCGCCTCGGCCTCCTAATGTGCTGGGATTACAGGCGTGAGCCACCACCCCCAGCCGGGATGTTATTTTTAATGGGACTTTCAGGACAACAATCAAATTTTGTAAATTATATTTTAATACTTTTGATTTCTTTGCCTTCGTGAGAAGAGAGAGAATATGATGAAATTTGGGGAAAAAGTGAAATTTTTCCATTACAAAGACTATTATGAATAAATACATAGAATGTTTTGAGGAAGTAAAAACTGATTTAACAATGTTATAACACAAGAAATTGTTGAAGACAGAAACAAGCATGGAACAATTAAGTGGAGAGGGATTCTGTGTGCTTCATGAAAACAACAATGAAAACGTAATTTGATTTATAAACCAAAATGAATGCTTTATAGCCGTGACCACATAACACCATTGGATTCCCTAAAACTATTTCAGCATCCCAGTCTTGTTAATTCACATTGCATACTATTACTAACTTAACTATGCCGGGGTAACATATTGAAATTATAGAGGGATTATTGACAAAAGGCAATATTATGTTTTCCAAACGCAGAATAATTCACATTCCTATAGCAGGGCCCCTAATCACTAGGAGTTCTGACAGCCCTTCAGTAAAGGCAAAGAAATGATCAACCACAGTGAGAATCCTGTTTGTATGCAAACAACGCTTCTGAAAGTGCTTGATCTCAGTTTGTCTATCTAAGAAGTTTAATCAACACCCTAAATTTCTGCAGTCTAGTTCGAAACTGTAATTTGTATAATCAAACATTCTATGGAGTACAAAGTTAAGCATACATTAATACCATGTAAAGTTCTAATGAGTGGACGTAGATTATTGAGGCTTTGCATCCGTTCAGTAATCCACGTCAACAGGCAGAACAAATAATCGTTACGGAGAACGAAAAAGATAACTTGTTGCTTTGTTCAAGGTCATTTAGTAGATTGGTAATTAAGGTCATTCTTTATTTCTGCTTCCGGTTCTCCAAGAGTGCTGTTCTGACCCATCATCGCCATAAAGCCACCCTGTAGTTGACCTCACCCTACAGTTGAGCAATCCTTTTACTCTCCATAAACATAGAATGCTGATTGTGATATACTACAAGATATAATAGAAGGTCGATTTTATTTCAGTTTTCCTCACTTCACAAGTATACTTAAGTACTGTAGAGGCATATTCCTCCTGATAATCACTAGGAGTAGAGGCTATAGCAAATTAAAATAATGAAGCATTTAGATGTTAAAAGTTGGGGGTATTGATAAAAGGAAGAGAATATACTCTGATTTTTAAAAAGAGAAAAAAATCAAAGAAAAAAGGAAAGCAAAAAAGAGAGAAAGCAAGCAAGTAATCAAGCACAAAGTCATGACAGAGTGAAAATAAATATATTTTGCTGGTTAAAAATTAACAGGTATCATAAAACCAATGACAGTTTCCTTTGATAATGTATCAACTCAAACCCAATAAAAGTAGTTGAACAGGTCATGCTTCTGCTTTTCATCCCCCTTTTAGGTAATGCCATTCTTTCATTGTGATGGTCTTACTTGTAGTTGAAAAAAATTTATAGCTAAATAAGCTAATGAATGTTAACCATTTTGTCGTGTGAAGGCTGAGGATTGTAAATAAACATCAAAAGGAGTGATTGTTCTTTAGATGACGTCTGTTTATAATAGGAGGCGTGAGTTAAGCAATGCATCTCAAATAAAAGATGTTTTACTGCCATCATTGCTCGTTACCTGAGCTACCCACATGACCAGAGTAAAGTTAGATAAGTGGAGACAAATAGTCCACACTGGGCCTGCACGGTGGCTCATGCCTGTAATCCCAGCACTTTGGGAGGTTGAGGTGGGAGGATCACCTGAGGTCAGGAGTTCAAGATCAGCCTGACCAACGTAGTGAAACCCCATCTCTACTAAAACTATAAAAATTAGCCAATTGTGATGGTGGGGGCCTGTAATCCCAGCTACTCTGAAGGCTGAGGCAGGAGAATTGCTTGAATCTGGGAGGTGGGGGTTGCAGTGAGCCAAGATTGTGCTACTGCACTCCAGCCTGGGCAACAGAGGGAGACTCCATCTCGGAAAAAAAAAAAAAAAAAAAGAGAAAGAGAAAAGAGAGAAATACTCTACACTGGGTCTTAGAAGATAATAAATTCTGAGCTACTATTTCAAATTAAAAAAAAATTGTTAATCTGTTTCGGAAGACATTGATCCATGTTTGACTGCAGCCAAAAATGCCAGCATAATACCAGGTATAACCAGGATTTAGAATAAAACTAAACACACACACACACACACACTTTTTTTTTTTTTTTTTTGAGACGGAGTTTCGCTGCTACCCAGGCTGGAGTGCAATGGTGCAATCTCGGCTCACTGCAACCTCCGCCTCCTGGGTTCAGGCAATTCTCCTGCCTCAGCCTCCCAAGTAGCTGGGATTACAGGCACACGCCACCATACCCAGCTAATTTTTAAAATATTTTTAGTAGAGACAGTGTTTCACCTTGTTGACCAGGATGGTCTCGATCTCTTGACCTCGTGATCCACCCGCCTCGGCCTCCCAACACACACACTCTTGTAATGAGGGTATTATACAGAAAATTCTTATGGTCGCTTCTAACTTGACTATTGGACATTGCTAAAATTTTAAAGAATATATTTACTTATTTTTTACTGTTAATCTTGCCAGATAATTGGCAAGATATTTTTAATTTAAATATGTTATTAAACTGTACATTTTCAGAAACTTTTGTTAAGGAAAGAAGATGAGTATAAATGTTTATGTAAGACAGCGATTCTAAGGTTAACAGGCAAATCATGTTTGCTGTAGGAAAGGAGAATATTTTAGAGACTATATATCTTTTAAAGAACTAGAAGCAGCCACTGTATTTAAAGCTATGTATTCCCTTCATTGGTGACGGTCACATTACTTACATTTTTCCCTTAATTCAGTTGCAAACTTACAAATTCATATTGTTCCTTTTTTCAGTATACTTTATGTACTAACTTAGTCATTTAACAACTTTTTTTCTGATAACATGATAGTGATATCTTTGTTATCAGTTACTGGAATATATCATACAAATTGATTTTTCAGGCAGTTGACAGAGCTGCAAGCTATAAATATTTTAACCATTTGAGGAGTATTCTTTCTCAAATCTAGTACATAGTTCCTACTGCAAAGGATATACTGAGAAAATGTAAATGTTGTTATGTGGGCCAAAAAGATTATAAGTGGCAGTGGTCTATTTTGTTGCAATATGACTCTTGGAGTTTTAATTAACCTGCAGTTTTGTGTCCTATCTACATATATATATACATATCCACTGAGGGCAGGGATCCGTACTGTCTGAGTCCCACATTGGGCTCTCCAGAGAGTGAGTGGGGGGTAACTGTTTGTGAGTTACATGTTAGGGGCTAAATTGTGCCTCCCCAAATTCATATTTTGAATTCTTAACCCCCAGTATCACAAAATGTGACTGTGTTTGGAAATGGGGTCTTTAATGAGACAAAGTTAACAAGTGGTCATTAGGGTGGGCTCTAATCCAGTGTGACCAGTGCCCTCATCAAAGAGGAAATTGCACACAGACACATACAAAAGGAAGATATCTGAGGACTCGGGGAGAAGGTGGTGCTCTTTGATCTCCGTCCTCTAGCCCCCAGAACCAGGATAACAGAATCTGTGGTTTAAATCAATCACCTAATCCGTGGTACTTTGTTATGACACCCCTAGAAAGTACTGAAAAGTGATAATCCCGTGTTGCTCTGTGGGAGAACCAAGTTTGCCAACAGAATGTTATGCATTTATTATTCTTATGCTTTTTTTTTGTCTTGTATCTCTCGGTGGGTCTCAACAGGTCAACTTTGACCTGTCACTTAAAAGTGCTTGAATACTAGAATATTCACCTCATGAGAATAATTTAAACTCTCAAAGCCTTTGTGGTTTTTTTATTTCTGCATTTTAAGTTGTCTTTTGAGCTTTTTTTCCTATGGAAAGAGTCTGAGTAACTGGAGATATAGCAGCAGAGTTCTGTTTGAAAGTCTTTTCTGTACTAACCTTATGACTTTCGTATCTATTTCTCTGTCAAAGGAGATTGGTGGTAACACTTTATCAGGGAGCTGTGGGATTCAAGTGAAATGCTGCATGTGAAAAATCACTTTGCAAGCTTAGCAGTGTGGCTCAAACAAACTCTCATCATTATAACTAGAAGTCTGGCCTGCTGACAAATATCTGTTGACAAGGAAGGATTTGTTGTACCAGTTAGTTTATCGTTAACCAACAATAAATTATTGAGTCAGGACACACATCAGATGCATGTGGTCATTTCTTTGAAGATAGAGAATGGCAAGGGGAAGATCTAAATTCATGTTGTGAAAGGATTGGCTGTAGTTTCTTTGGAATTTTTTTTAAAGGCTGGAGAGATAAAATTTTGTCTTTTCTCTTTTAATAATTTTGAATTATACTTTTCCCCTCATTTAAACTTATGTTTTATTTATTTTTGATTATTCAGCGTGACATATCTTTTAAAAACAATTTTAGGAGACTGAGTGCTGCTGTCTGCCCAGACTGGAGTGCAGTGGCAGCATCACAGGTCACTGAATCCTTGAAATCCTGGGCTCAAGAGATCCTCCCACCTAAGCCGCCTGAGTGGTTGGGATCACAGCCCTGCACCACCACCACCAGGCCTGTCTAATTTTTGATTTTTTTTGAAGAGACTGGCTCCAGCTGTCTTGCCCAAACTGATCTCAAACTCCTGGGCTCAAGAAATTCTCCTGCCTCAGTGCCTCCAAGTGCTGGGATTATCGTTGTGAGCCACTACTGTTGACCTGATATATAATTTTTCAATCCACTTAAATTTTTTAAGTTTTGTATTTTTTAAATTGTGGATAAAATTGTATACATTTATCATGTACAACATGATGTTTTGAAGTATATATACATTGTGGAATAATCAAGTGATATTCTACAGTCTTTCATATGACCACAAATTTATAAAAGTTCATATGAAATTTTTATTAACAACGGTTAGTTTGATTTTGTTTAATTTGTCGACATACAAGTATTTAGATATGACTCAAATGTGAGTATATTGCATTAAGTGTCTGTTTTCCCTTTTATCAGTTATACTTTATGAAGCAATTTAAAAATAAATAAATTAGCCTCCAACTATATAACCAGTGATATCCAGCTTTAAATGCAATTATTTTCAAACGTGCTGGTGTGTGTGAAACCCGACAGCTATTGGTTACACACTAGCAGCAGCCTCACAGTAATTAATGCCAGATGTGTCTAGCCATTTCATTATTAATTGGCTATTTGCAAAATTCAGTATGGTGCTTTGAAAAGAGGTACAGTCATCGATGGGCATTTGGGTTGATTCCAGGTCTTTGCTATTGTAAACAGTGCTGCAATGAACATTCGTGTGCATGTGTCCTAATAGAAGAACGATTTATAGTCCTTTGGATATATACCCAGTAATGAGATTGCTGGGTCAAATGGAATTTCTATTTCTAGGTCCCTGAGGAATCTTCCACAATGGTTGAACTAATTTACACTCCCACCAGCAGTGTAAAAGTGTTCCTATTTCTCCACAACTTTGTAGGGACATGGATGAACCTGGAGAACATCATTCTCAGCAAACTGACACAAGAACAGAAAATCAAACACTGCATGTTCTCACTCATAGGCGGGTATTGAACAATGAGAACACATGGACACAGGGAGGACAGCATCACACACTGGGGTCTGTTGGGGGGAATAGAGGAGGGACAGCAGGGGATGGGGAGTTGGGAGAGATAGCATGGGGAGAAATGCCAGATATAGGTGAAGGGGAGGAAGGCAGCAAATCACAGTGCCACGTGTGTACCTATGCAACTATTTTGCATGTTCTTCACATGTACCCCAAAACCTAAAATGCAGTAAAAAAGAGGTACAGCCTTTATTTTTTAGAATAGTTTCTGTTCCGATAACCTTTCAACATATTCCTGTCTCTTCTTTTTCACGTTAATTTCATGTACATGTCACATATAATGTTAGATCCTCACACCTCTGGGTATGTTCTAAACCCTTTCAATGAACATAGACTAGGTGGGATGAAAGGCTGGCCCTTTTAAAGGACCAAAACTTTAAAAATGAGATTAGTTCATACAGAAACAGAAGGCCTCTTAGTAAAAGTTAAACAAGCAAGTTTAAACAAAAATCTCCTTCAAGTTAGATTTACTTTGGTAATATTCAAATTTTTTTAAAATTATACTTTAAGTTCTGGGGCACATGTGCAGAATGTGCAGGTTTGTTACATAGGTGTACACGTGCCATAGTGGTTCGCTTCACCCATCAACCTGTCAACTACATTAGGTATTTCTCCTAATGCTATCCCTCCCCCAGTCCCCTACCTCCGACAGGTCCTGGTGCCTGATATTCCCTATCCCTGTGTCCATGTGTTTTCATTGTTCGACTCCCATTTATCAGTGAGAACATGCGGTGTTTGGGTTTCTGTTCTGGTGTTAGTTTTCTGAGAATGATGGTTTCCAGCTTCATCCATGTCCCTCCAAAGGACATGAACTCATCCTTTTTTATGGCTGCATAGTATTCCATGGTGTATATGTGCCACATTTTCTTTATCCAATCCATCACTGATGAGCATTTGGGTTGGTTCCAGTCTTTGTTATTGTAAACAGTGCCACAATAAACATGCGTGTTCATGTGTCTTTATAGTAGAATGATTTCTAATCCTTTGGGTATATAACCAGTAATGAGATTGCTGGGTAAATGGTATTTCTAGTTCTAGATCCTTGAGGAATTGCCACACCGTCTTCCACAATGGTTGAACTAATTTACACTCCCACCAACAGTGTAAGAGCATTCCTATTTCTCCACATCCTCTCCAGTATCTGTTGTTTCCTGACTTTTTAATGATCACCATTCTAACTGGTGTGAGATGGTATCTCAATGTGGTTTTGATTTGCATTTCTCTAATTACCAGTAATGATGAGCTTTTTTTCATATGTTTGTTGGCTGCATAAATCTCTTCTTTTGAGAAGTGTCTGTTCATATCCTTCACCCACTTTTTGATGGGGTTGTTTCTTTCTTGTAAATTTGTTTAAGTTCTCTGTAGATTCTGGATATTAGCCCTTTGTCAGATGGATAGACTACAAAATTTTTCTCCCATTCTGTAGGTTGCCTGTTTACTCTGATGACAGTTTCTATTGTTGTGCAGAAACTCTTTAGTTTAATTAGATCCCATTTGTCTATTTTGGCTTTTGTTGCCATTGCTTTTGTTGTTTTAGTCATGAAGTCTCTGCCCATGCCTATGTCCTGAATGGTACTGCCTAGGTTTTCTTTTAGGGTTGTTATGGTTTTAGGTCTTACATTTAAGTATTTAATCTATCTCAAGTTAATTTGTGTATAAGGTGTAAGGAAGGGGTCCAGTTTCCGTTTTCTGCACATGGCTAGCCAGTTTTCCCAACATCATTGAATAGGGAATCCTGTCCCCATTGCTTGTTTTTGTCAGGTTTGTCAAAGATCAGATGGTGGTGGATGTGTGGTGTTATTTCTAAGGCCTCTGTTTTGTTCCATTGGTCTATATATCTGTTTTGGCACCAGTACCATGCTGTTTTTCTTACTGTAGCCTTGGAGTGTAGTTTGAAGTGAGGCAGTATGATGCCTCCAGCTTTGTTTCTTTTGCTTAAGATTGTCTTGGCTATGCAGGCTTTTTTTGGTTCTATATGAAATTTAAAGTGGTTTTTTTCCAATTCTGTGAAGACAGTTAATGGTAGCTTGATGGGATGGCATTGAATCTATAAATTACTTTTGGCAGTATGGCTATTTTCACCTAAATTGATTCTTCCTATCCGTGAGCATGGAATGTTTTGCAACTTTTTCTGTCCTCTCATATTTTCTGGAGCAGTGGTTTGTAATTCTCATTGAAGAGGTCGTTCACATCCCTTGTAAGTTGTATTCCTAGGTATTTATTCTCTTTGTAGCAATTGTGAATGGGAGTTCATTCATGATTAAGCTCTCTGTTTGTCTCTTATTGGTGTATAGGAATGCTTGTGATTTTTGCACGTTGATTTTATATCCTGAGACTTTGCTGAAGTTGCTTATAAGTTCTAGGAAATTTTGAATTGAGACATTGGGGTTTTCTAAATATACAGTCGTGTCATCTGTGAACAGAGACAATTTGACTTCCTCTTTTCCTATTGAATACCTTTTATTTTTTTCTTCTGCCTGATTGCCCTGGCCAAACTTCCATCACTATGTTGAATAGGAGTGGTGAGAGAGGGCTTTCTTGTCTTGTGCTGATTTTCAAAGGGAATGCTTTTGGTTTTTGTTCATTCAGTGTGATATTGGCTGTGGGTTTGTCATAAATAGCTCTTATTATTTAGAGATACATTCCACTGATACCTAATTTATTGAGAGTTTTCAGCATGAAGGATTGTGGAATTTTTTTGAAGGCCTTGTCTGCATCTTTTAACATAATTATGTGGTTTTGTCATTGGTTCTGTTTATGATGGATTATGTTTATTGATTTGAGTCTGTTGAACCAGCCTTGCATCCCAGGAATGAAGCCAACTTGATCGTGGTGGGCAAGCTTTTTGATTCGTTTTGCCAGTATTTTATTGAGGATTTTTGCATCGACATTTATCAGAGATATTGGCATAAAATTTTGTTTCTGTTGTGTCTCTGCCAGGTTTTGGTATCAGGACGATGCTGGCCTCATAAAATGAGTTAGGGAGGATTCCCTCTTTTTGTATTGTTTGGAATAGTTTCAGAAGGAATGGTAACAGCTCCTCTTTGTACCTCTGGTAGAGTTTGGCTGTGAATCCATCTGGTCCTGGACTTTTTTTGGTTTGGTAGGCTGTGAATTGCTGCCTCAATATTGGTAGATTCATGGTTGGTTGGTTTTTCCTAGGCATCTTGCTGTCACCAGATTGGAGTGCAGTGGTGCAGTCCTGGCTTCCTGCAACCTCTGCCTCCAGGGTTCAAGGGATTCCCCTGCCTCATGCTCTCAAGTAGCTGGTTCTACAGGTGCACGCTACCACACCCAGCTAATATTTTGTATTTCAGTAGAGACGGGGTTTCACCATATTGGCCAGGATGGTCTCAATCGGCTGACCTAGTCATCAGCCCTTCGGCCTCCCAAAGTGCTGGGATTACAGGCTTGAGCCACTGTGCCCGGCCAGATTTGGGATTTTTTTTCTTTTTTTTTTCACTGATAACAGTATCTGAGAATTATAAGCCAGATTTGGGGTTTTTAACTCCTGTTTTAGAATCTGAAATGTGAGGGGTAGGACACATCTTGTTTCTTTCTCTTATCTTCCTTACTTTTTTGCGATGAAAATAGATAATGTAACATTGACTCTTTTAGACATATCCTCCTATTAAGTGCTGTTTTTATTCTCAAATTCTGTGTGCTAAAAAAAATCTTTATCTGAATGACAAATGCAACTTGTACTTTAACCCAGTTAGGTCTCGGGAGGTGATCCCATAAAGACCAATCTTCCTTTCCTTGTGATCTGGTGACACCTGAAGGATCATATGGAGGATTCAGCTACGATCGCTCTATTCTAAACTCAGCCAATAAATGCTCCATGCTCCAAACAGATGTTTTCCTTTTAGGTCGTTGCACCACTTGTGGACCATTTTCCTTCCCTAGAGGAAACATCAGCATGATCGTAAACTAGAAAGCTTCTTCTGAGCATCCAAGGACACACCCAGGGATGGCAGCAGCAGTAGCGGGGAGTAAACGTGGAAAAGCGGAGATGCATTTTTTTCATGAATTTGTGACCCACTCTGCATTTAATTTCTCTCTTTTTTTTTTTCCATTTCTTATTTCAGAGGTCACTTGGTGTACTTTGAAAGTGAATGTTTTTATTTTTATCTTTAAAAATGCTTTATTGCTGATTTATTTAATATGGTGTTTACAACACAGCCTGGAGCCTCTCTGATTTACAGCGTAACATACCCAGAAGAGTCCCTCCTAAACTGTACTGGAAGAGAGAAATTTTAGGTTCTCACTCTTAAAAAGTCAGACTTTTCAAGACAGAGAAAGAGGTACTTATTAAAAGAATATTCTCCGAAAAAGAACAAAGATCAGCTATTTAATTGAAAGAGTAAACTGTCTAAAAAAAAACATGTTTTCTTTTTTTTTTTTTTTTTTTTTTTTTTTTGAGTTCACTCTTGTAACCCAGGCTGGAGTGCAATGGCATGATCTCGGCTCACCGCAACCTCCGCCTCCTGGGTTCAGCCAATTCTCCTGCCTCAGCCTCCCGAGTAGCTGGGATTACAGGCACGTGCCACCGTGCCCAGCTAATTTTTTGTATTTTTAGTAGAGATGGGGGTTTCACCATTTTGACTGGGACGGTCTCGATCTCTTGACCTCGTGATCCACCCGCCTCGGCCTTCCAAAGTGCTGGGATCACAGGCATGAGCCACCGCGCCCGGCCTTATGTTTTCCTTTGTAGTGGTTTGCTTTCTGTGAAGAAGGATTAAACACTTTCTCTCTGTAGAAAATAATCCCAGCTTAATACAAATGTGAGTTCCTGTTTTCAGATGGTGGTATTATTTTATCGCATGTGCGATCACAGCTGTAGGCACATTTCACTTCCTTCCAAGCTTGATGTTGCCTACATGTCTGCCTTGAAAACATAACGTCTCTGTGTTTACTGGTGCAGCTCACCTGCATGAAAACGTTGTGGCATTGTGAATATAGAGCGTGAGGGCAAAATGTGGGAAATG